CAGAAATGTAACATATTAATAAAGCTTATACAAGCAATAAACTAAATATAGTTGTCATTTGGTCTGATTTACTTATTATTTAATGTATAAATATGGCACCAGATGAGCGAGTGAAGGCCTGTGAAAGCAAGGGGTCTGGCAGCTGATCTGTAGAATACTTAAATAATCATTATAATATTTGGAATTTAAGAAAATGGGTTATTATACATACAGTAGGTTACTTGTTTTTATGCATGGTGTCAGCTACACAGAAAGTTATGTACTACATTTCTGGCAGCAGCCATTTGTTTGAAATAAATACAGGAACTGCACCAGTCAGCACAAGCAGTGATATCAGTAAGGTAGAATAGGCAAAAGAGTACCACTCACACAGTTTCACTGACAGATGATTTAAAGAAAAAGGCATGGCTGTAGTATGGGAAGGTTAAATTGACCATTTCTGTACATTTGTAGTCAACAGTAAATTTTTTAGAGTGCCAGATTGTGACAAATTGTTTAATTTTGATGGCTGTCATTAATATAAAATTAAAAAAGGCTGGTTGGTAAGTGGCTTGGGGTGACACCTGAGGACACCTGCGGTCCTTCACTAGTGAGATCTTTGGTTTATTTTCTTATAAAACAAATAAAGGCACTGAGCTTATTTCAGTTAATCCACATAATCATGTTTCACTTATTAGTGAATAAAAAGTTGACTTTCAGTTGATTTCCAGTCAGTGATAATCATTCATAAGTCACCCTGACTACCTGAAAACAAACAAAGCAGTCTCATTTTCATTACAAAAGCTTTTTCTTCTCTTCATTTCTGGCAGTTAGACAGTGCAGTGACTAATGTGTTTTATATGATTAACACCCAACATTGCTAGCAAAATGAACTTGTCCTTCCACATTCCATTCATAGTACAAAACCAGACTCAGATCTCTTTTATTACGCAAGGGTCACATTTAAAATCTCCCAACCTGAGTCATTCTCTCAGGTCTTGTGGATACAGATCAGCTGTCAGAGTTTTGTCCCTTCTTCAGGCACCAACGCAGGTAACATTGACAGGATGGAACGGTCAATGTGGACAAGAATCTTCCAAAATAAAGCAAGGAATCTTCAACAAGGAGACACCTGGCGTCTGGAGTTTGATGACAGTCTTGTGCCTCACAGCCCGAACCCAGGCTGGGAGCAGTACATCAGGAACACAGTTGCATGGTCAGTGTGCTGGACTATTGGTATTTAATGTAGTTGGTGTGTATATACAATATTGTATATGTTAGTGGATGCATTAGGTTTCTCAAGGTTTGTCCATATGTATACTGAAAGTACTTAGACTATCTAAGCTGCATGGACAAAAATGTGTTACACAGTTAAGAGCTTAGAAATGGGGTTAAGAGAATTAATGTAAGTTAATGCCATGTCTAGTGTGACAAAAGCTGGGTAATTTTAGACTTTTAGATATATTGAAAGAAGAATGATCTCATAGGTAGGCTTTACTCTCAGCTACAGATTTAATCAAACACACAGGCTTCTTGGACTGTTATTGCATCAAAAAAGGAAGGGGGTGAAATCAAATGACTGTTTCTCCTCCCATGTCCCTTTTTTACTGTCTTCAGTCTAACAATATTATTTCGTCAATATTTAGGGTGGACCAATCGACTTATTATAATTATATGATTTCTTCTTCCAGAGTGTTGCTTCTTCCAAGAAGTGTTTCTATAGTTAAAACTTATAGTGTAACTTAGGTTGTCATTTTGTTAAAAGGTTGTTAAAAGGTTGTTGTCATTTTCAAGGTTCAAATGCACCGTGTGTAGAAGAGGCTGGCCTTCCAACCGAGTGATGGTGGTCTTCCACATGCGCCTGTCCAACGGGCAGGGCATTGTCAAGGTGAGGCGCTTCCGTCAGAACTGCAAGATGTGCACCAATGCTCCAATGGAAATGCCCGACATCGAGTCTGAGAACATCCACATCCTTCTGGAGAATCTGGTGGAGAAGATAAGAATGAAATGCTACCATGAAGACCTGGGCAGAGTGAACAGGCCTTTTGTAAACCTGGAAGTCAAGAGTCCCCATGAGCCTGCTCATTGTGAGGCCTGTAAGCAAGGCATCTGTGCAAGGAGTTAAACTTGTGTAACTTTTTAGTCAGCCTTCTATTAATTGAAAGAAAAATTGATATTTGTCTCAGACTGTCTTTATTCTTGAAGGTTTTTTAATTTTATTAAGAGTTTCAATTAAGTTATATGCCTGTAGCTCATATTAGCAAAGTATGTAAGCTTTTATATTCATTCTTATTGTCAGTTTTCTTTGTCTGCTCAATGACTTAAACATCACTTTTTAAAAACAGAAATGTAACAGATAAATAAAGATTATGCAAGCACTATACTAAATGTATTTGTGATTTCTGTGGTCAAATTGGTCTGATTTATTTATTATTTAATGTTTATATATGACACTAAATGAGAGAAAAAAAGCCTGTCAGTGACTTTTGACACTCGAAGCACATACTGTATGAAATGGGATGTACATGCAAGATTCTTGTTTTTTCGGTGTCCGTGAGATGGTAAAGGGTGTATGACACACAGAAAGTGTTGACAGCAGAGGTCTTGCAGCAGCAATTATGAGCAGTTTGAAACAAATAAAAGAAGTGCACGGTCAGCACAAGCAGTAATATCAGGAGGGTGGAACCGATGTAGAAAACAATGCCATTCTCTCTGCTTCTGTGTATAAATAGGCTGTTAGGCAATTAGACATTCTAATGACTAATATGTTTTATATGCTTAACATCTAACATCCCTAGCTAAACAAACCTTTCATAGTACAACCATTTATAGCACAAAACTACAAATGAAACTTAAGGAAACCAGGGTTGAACTTTTAAGTTTCATTTTCCTCAAACTCTCTGTTGGTAGGGTTACATTTAAAGTGTCCCAACCTGGGGGTGATGAGTCACTCTCTCAAGCTGTTTGTATATAGATCAGCTGTCAGAGTTTTGTCTCTTCTTCAGCCACCAACACTGACAGGATGGAAGAATCAAAGTGGACAAGTATCTTTCAGATGAAAGCAAAGAATTTCAAACAAGGAGACTCCTGGAGTCTGGAGTTTGATGACAGTCTTGTGCCCAAACGCCCCAACCCTTGCTGGAAGCTGTGTATCGGGAGCACAAGTGCAAGGTCAGTGTGCTGAATTATTGTTAGTCACTGTAGTGGGTGTGTACTTTATAGGGATGTCCAGATCAAGTTTGTTTAGCTCCTGATCCAATCCAAGTCATTTAATATTGAGCCCAGTGCACACTTTATTATATTTTAAGTATATTAATGTTACTTAAATGAATCAACCAATTTTTAAATGCTTGAAAATTAAATATCTCTGCATTGCATTAAGAAACAAAATAACAGAGTTACACAATAAAGTATAAAATAACAAACCCTCTGTATCTTTTTGCCCTTGTTGCTGTCTGGAGGGAGTTTCTCTCTCCAGCGTATTTTGCTTCAGTGCAGCTTTAGCCTGAGTTACCTGGACAAACTGTATTCTGCTGAGTGTTTATTTCCATCGTCTCTACATATTTTGCATAATTATAGCACAGTGTGAGTAATTATAGTACAGTGTGTGTAATTATAGTACAGATACATTAGGTTTATTAAGGTTTGTGTGTATATGTATGTTCTTGGACAACTTAAGTTGCATGGACAAAAAAGCAATTTTTCACACAGTCACATTGTGATGATTTTAGGACAAACCCTGATCACCACAAGGTAAACTATTAAGTTTTAGCGTAAAGGCTAAAGTAAAGGTGAGGATAAGGGACTATCGGTTAAGGGTTAAGAAATTGAACGTAAGTTCATGCCATGTCCTGTGTGACAAGAGCTGAGTTATTTTAGTCTTAGAAATATACAGTAAGAAGAAATAATACCATATGTTTTAAACTGGCAAAACCTGAATAAATAATTGTGGTTTCATTATGTAATCAGGAAGGAGGTGACATCAGATGGCTCTTTTGCTTCTACTTCCTTTTCCACTGGCTTCAGTCTAACAGCATTATTTAGTCAATAATTTTGTTTGCCCAACTGACTTTCAAACAAAATTAATTTCTTCTTCCAGCGCATCACTGCTTGTGTGTGCCTGTGGCTAAAACTTGAGTTTCCATGTACGTTTGCTCGGTTCAGTTCAGTCTGTCTTTAACTTGGGTGCTCTGTCATTTTCAAGGTTCAACTGCACCAAGTGTGGAAGAGGCTGGCCTTCTGTTCGGGTGAAGGTGGTCTTCCACATGCGCCTCTTACATGGGCATGGCACTGTCAAGGTGAAAGCCCTTGGCCAGCAGTGCAAAACGTGTGATGGAGCTCCAATGGAGAAGCCCAGCGTCACCTCCAGGAACATCGACATCCTCCTGGATACTCTGGTGGAGAAGATAAGAATAAAATGCTACCACGAAAACCTGGTCAGAAGGAACAAGCCTTTTATAAGCCGTGATGTCACCCGTCCCCACGAGCCTGCTCATTGTGAGGCCTGTGCTCAAGGCATCTGTACCAGGCGTTGAGCTTATATGAGTCAGGCTTTTATAAGAAAAGTAATTCTTTTTGTTGGGGTTTTATTGATGTTTTATACCTATAAACTCATATTAGCAAATTGTATCAAGATTTATATGTAAGACTGTCATTCTGTTTCATTGTATTATGCCTGACATCATATTTTTATGGTAATGAAGTGCATGTAAGCTTTCATGTTTATTCTTGTTGGCAGTCAATTTTCTTTAACATATTGTTTTCTCAAATGCATTAAACACGCCTTTTTACAAACAGAAATGTAACATATTAATAAAGACCATAATTTGCCTAACTTTGGACTATATTATAGATTACAAAATGAGGGATTTTGAGCGCAAGCTAAACAGTAATGATCAATGATTTCAATTCAATTCAAGTTCATATCTTTATTATGTATAAAGGCCAAATCATAACAGAAGATTATCTAGGACACTTTTCAAAATAATGCAGGTCTAGACTGTACTTTACAGGAGACCCAACATTTCCCACCATGAGCAAGCACTTGGCGCAGCGGCAAGGAAAACCTCTGGACACAGAGAAGAGAGCGGAGAGAAAGGAGCCAGATCCAACCAAAATTATCACAGCAAGCCAAAAAGAAAATATATTTGAATACTAGGAAAGAACGACAACACAAAGTAATTACAATGTTATCTGACCCTATATAAGAGAATTCACACTGGCAAAATGTACCTGGAGTACAATGGAAATGTCTAACTTAAGGAAAAAAGTGACAAACATTACAGACTGAAGTGAACACAAGCCTGGCCATCAGAATAAGGCAGAACTGTACAGAAAGGAGTATACTCTTGCTCCCAGTGTGGACAAGAGGACAGGTAAGAGACATTGAGCTGCACTTTCTAAAACCCTCATGCCCTTAAATATAAAACCTTAAGAAGAAAAACACTTTGCAAATCATTTGTCCAAATATACCCGAATTCGGAATTATATATCAGACACACAGAAAAACTCTTCCTATTTACTGGAGAAATGCCCACAATGTCAAATAATTGCAGGCAAAGTTATGTCTCCTCATGCCCACAAGAACTGAGGACAACCAGTGGAAACTCAGAGGATACAAATTATATAAAAATAATTAAATGTTTTAGTTTTTTCTTTTTTATTAAATAATTATTTATTTTTTTTTTTAAATATAGTTATTATATTACACACACACACGTTTACAGTTTATCATATCTATTTTATATTTAATTTATAATATATTTATTTTTATTTTATTTTTTTAACACCACACAAGCTTACTATTTATTTATTATTTTATTTAATGTATTATTTTCATTTCTAACCACACACATCACACGCGTTACTAATTTTATGATAATTTATTTTAATTCTTAATATATTATTTTCATTTTTCTAACACACCGGACTTACTTATTTTATTTATTTATTTATTAATATATATTTTCATTTTCATAACTGTCTTTAATTTTTAAAAATTATTATTATTTTGCTGTTTTATTAACATACACAAACAACTTTTACTGTTTTATTTACTTATTTAATGAAATGTATGAAATTGTTCTTATGTTAATTTATTTGTGCGTTTATTTTGGTTTTACATTCATGCAATAAAGCTGATTTGAATTTGAATTTAGAGAAGAGAGAGATCGAGAGGAGTGAGAGAGAAGGAGAGACTAATGGGTATGAACTGATATGGTGATAATACAGCATGATGAACATTGAACGAAGATGATGACAGACAACGACAACAACGAGTGGGGACAAATGAGCAGGATTATATAATGAATAGTAACTTGTAGTAATAAAAATAGTAAATAAATAATAACAATAATATTCGATAATGATTTAGCAACGAGTCAATAAATGGGATCAAGCAGGGACAATGGGAGGAGGCACCACCAGGATCCATGGAGAACAATGCAAGACAT